GGTAAACTGTGGTCAATGACATGCGACAAAGTATATGTGAACTGCTGTATGGAAAGTGAATGTGCTCTGTAAATCTTCACCCAAATCACAATAAAAAAAATAAAAAAAAAGCAGTGAAGGGTACCCTAAAAGTATGTTTAGTATGTTTTTCAGTTTATTCCCATGTTTGTTGATTTTCATGGCAGATAGTATGCAGGATACTATTTCATTAATTGAGGTTGTTGTTAATTGCCGTGGTGTCAGTTCTGACTCATGGCAACCCCATGTATCACAGAGTAGAACTGTACCATAGAATTTTCTTGGCTGTAATCTTAACAGAAGCACATCACCAGGCCTGTTCTTCTGCAGTACCACTGGGTGGATTTGAACCACCAATATTTAGGTTCATAGTCTATAGCAAAATATTTCCACCATGTAGGGACCTTCATTCATTTAAATAATCCAGATGAAAAGATAAAGCCCAGTGCCTGGCCCACTGCCATCCGTGAGCAGATATTAGTCCCTTCTTCTTTAGCCCATAGACCTATAAGAAGTCTTGGGGAAAGGGAATCTAGAGAGAAAGACAACAACAAATGTGTGAGGCAAAATGGTGGATCTGTAGAGCCATTTTGAAAGTCGTTGTAACGGATGACATTAACATCTTAGTTGTCTTACTAATGTTGAAATTTCTGATTAGCGGGGCTTGTCATTAGCAAGGCGCTCTGGTGGTGCAGTAAAGCATTGGGCTGCTAACCACAAGGTTGGTGTTTCAAACTTGTCAGCTGCTCCATGGGAGAAGGATAAGGTAGTCTCTTTCCTTAAAGATGTACACTCTTAAAAAACCTTTGGAGCAGTTGTACTCTGTCCTATAGGTCACCAGTCACCATCAACTCGATGGCACTGGGTTTGGTTTTGGCCATATGCAGTTTTTCTTGGGTAGGCTTAATTTCTTTCTTTTTGTCTTCTTTTTCCTTCCAGGGGAGGAAGATGATTTGTCTCTGCTGACTGCCCTACTGGAAGAGAATGAGTCAGCCTTTGATTGTAATTTGAAAGAAGACAACTCCTTGACCCAGGAAGGTGATGAACATGACCAATTTGATGAGCTCTTTGATGCTGATGGTGACGGTGAATCTTACTCAGAGGAGGGTGATGATGGAGAAGTGGGAAGGACTGAAGACCAGAAGGAAGAACTGGCTACTCTCTTTGGAGATATGGGAGATTTAACAGATGAAGAAGAAGTTCCTACTTCACAGTCAACTAAAAATATGACTCCCCCTGCTTCTGCTTCTGCACCTGAACAAGAGAAAACTAATCAAGAATTGCAAGGTGCCCTGAACTACCTACTTGTCTTTTCTCATTTCTTTATGACCAGCAATCGGATGGTTTTCATCAAATGAGCTGCTGATTCAAGGATGGAAAGACATGACTTTATAAAAAATGTTATGAGTTGGTAGATCAGACGTTTAAGTTCAGCTTATAAAGGCCTATTTATATCAGTGTCTGCCACCTGTAATTGATCCTCCACGGAATGGCTCTAATAGTTTGCATGCTTATTACAGCATTGTTGTTGTTGTTGTTGTTGTTGTTGTTATGTGCCGTTGAATCGGACCTGACTCATAGCAACCCCTCCTTGGGTTTCCGAGGCAGTATCACTACAGAAGTAAATTGCCCCATCTTCCTTCCGAGGAGTGGCTGGTGGGTTTGAACTGCCAGCCTTCTGGTTAGCAGTCAAGTGCCTTAGCCACTATGCTACCAGAGCTCCCTATTACAGCATAATATGTAATAATTTATATGCATACAGTGCCAGAGGCAGTACTACAAAGCTGTTACATAGTCCATTGGAGCAAGAGACCATTCCTAGGTGGAAGCTCTGAGCAGTGCCCTTTTCTTATTTCTGACATCTTCTCCTGTATATTTTTAAGTTACAATAAAATTCGTTGGTTGACTATTTTTTGTGATACAGAAGCCAAGATTCATTGTATTAGTTATAATATCCATTTTATTAAATAAATATAATGATTTCCTAACTCCTAAAAACTTGTTAACTGTGGATATGAATCTGTGATATCTGTCAATAGTGCAGATTCATAAACAGCTCAGATATTAGAGGCTTCATTACCAGAAATCAAAGTTCATTTCACTCTTTGAAGTTTAAATATTAATCATGATATTTCAGTATGTGATTCTCTTGTGGGTTTCAGGATTGAGAGTGGGGATGCACTAAAAGTTTTCCTAGCATTTTCATCATTGTATATTGTATGTTTCATGTCTTGACAACCTTCCTCTGGCCTGGTGCTTAATGTATTTTTCTTTCCTAGATGAATTAAGGAAGTTGCAAGAGCAAATGAAATCCTTACAAGAACAGCTAAAAGTAGCAACAATTAAACAACCTGCAAGTCCAGTCCATCTGCATAAATCCCCTGGTAATAAGACTGATTCTGGGAATAGTGTGCATTTCCGTTATACAGATTATTATAACATTACTTCTGCATCCAACTTTGGCAAAAGAATCTTTGAGCCCCTTTCTTACTAGTTTCTTTTACTTTTAATCAAGTAGGTAAGTCTCCACGTCCCCCTCTTAAGGAGAAGAAAGTTCAAAGAATGCAGGAGTCCACATGCTTTTCTGCAGAGCTTGATGTCCCTGCTCTACCAAAAACCAAGCGGATGGCTCGGACACCAAAGGTTTCACCTTCAGGTAGAGTATTCTGTGCTTCACTGATTTCCTGCTCCTCTGGCTCTGTTTCAAGTAGGTTTGACACTGTCTGATTCTTGTGTGTTGGTTTGTCTTATCTCCTCATTGAGAAAAGTAAGTTTCTTAGGAATGGGAGCCATATGATATATTTTGTGTTTGTTCTTAATATCTCAAGTTATGTCCTTAAGTAAAGAGTAAATGTTTTTTAAATTTAGTGGGTTGAATTTTTTTTTAGCACTATAATCCTGTAGTTTTACTTGGACGCTAGTAAGTGTAGCCACTTTATTGAATTCTCATGCTGGAAGTCTAGAGATTTAATCTTCAGTCTTAGGAGATTAAAGCGCAGATTCCCTTATGAAAGGAAGGCCATGTTGTGTTAAACCAGAAGGTACATTCTTTAGAAAAGACATCTATGCCAAGAGTATAGAATGGTACAGAAATAAAATTTTATTTCAGCAAGACACGATATATACACAAAGGTCTGGAGATGACACAGCTTAGAGTAAGCACATCTTACTGGGAAAAGACCCCTTTGAACATTATTAGCATACAACAGTAATAGAAAATAGCTGTAGGCTCAGTGTTCGTATTTATTTGGAAACAAATTTCATATTTAGTGTATCTACTTATGAATAACCTCCATCCTCTTAGGACCTTTGACATTACTAAGGTGTTTCATTAGGCAGTCTCTAAAATTTGGTTTAGAGGAGATGGGACATCACAGTTTCTAGAGATTCTCAAGTTCTAGAATTGCCATGACTCCTAGCTTAGATGTGATTATCCAAAGTTCATTTGAAAGTATGCAGCATCTTCTATAAGAGTGATATTTTGCTAAAGATAATACCCAAGTTTTCTGATCTTTGGGAGAATTATCTAATGCTTCTAAAATATGATAAATGACCATGTCAGGGTATTTAGTTCAAGCAATAGTAAAATACCCTACTCTTCCTGTATCCCCCAACCCCAAATAAAATGGAATGAAGTAAAATGAAAAAAGAAATAAGACGAAAAGTGGAGCTAGCTTTGGATTTTCTTCAGGTAGAATTTGATCTATACATAAATCTCCAAAATTAGTCATTCTTGAAGGAGGTCTTTAACTCAACTTCTAGATGAAATCTACTACAATTCTCTGGCTATGGTGACAACTCAATAAATGTCATTGCACAGAGTAACTAATAATGTTTTAGAGCTGCACTGTCTACAACAGTAGCCACTAGCCACATGTGGCTATTTAAATTGAAATGAAAGCAAAACTAATTACTCAGAAGCACCAGCACCAGTCATATATTAAGTGTTAAATGACCACATGTGGCTGGTGGCTACCAAACTGGACAATGCAGATATAAAATATATCCATTATTGCAGAAAGTTCTATAGGACTGTACTGCAGAGATTTTGAAGATAGGACAGAAATGATCTAGTGAGCATTCTTTGTTTTCTCATAATTTGGTAATTGTATGTTTTGATTAAAAAATAGACAATTCTGTGAAAACATGTTGTTATCAGTATGGTTTTCTTTCTACTTAATTTTTATGTTATTTTCTAGGACCCAAAAACTCAACTTCAGGGATGACAAGTGTGCCCTCCCAGCCACTCCGAACTATGCCTGGGAATAAACCTAATGTCATGCCTAGAGATCAGAGTATAAGGACCCCAGGGAACCCTGGGGAACTGGCTCAGATAGTCTCTGTGGAAGCCTTCTCTGGCCTGAGGCTCAGGTCAGTAAGTGGAACAGCCCACTCACTCTGTTCACATGCACCACTAGATGGCTTGTCCTCTTGTTAGAAGACCTCATCTTTTAGGAAGAGTGTTTGTGCAGCAGATCTCTAAAACAGCACAGCTCTTGTATGCAACAAAACTTGACAGTACGATTAGCTGTGGCACTGGTTTAACTCAGCATATAAAATTTAAGGATGATTCTTTTTTGTTTATATAATGAGTAAAAGATATATATCTATACTATGTAGGTGATCCTGGATAGAGTGGGAGAAAAATGTAGAACAAAACTCAAAATCACTTGGGGGGGAAAAAAAGGGACTACGTTTGCTGCTCTGACCCCTGAGACTATGGCCCCTAGCTGCCTTTAAGGTCTGGAATTGAATCCACTCCTGTGGCTTCCAGCCAAACAAAAGACAGGCATATGAGCTGAACATTTACATTAGGTAGATACACTCCTTGGAGAGATCAGTCACGGGAGAATAGAAGGGCTGTGTATGCACAGGGAGACAGCTCAAGGGGCAGGAGTGCATGGAGGGAAGGACACAGGTTAGAGGTCACTATGGGAAGTAAGTGGGAAGAGAGCTGTTTGTTGCATTGTGGGAAATTGCAGTCATATAATGAGACGAAGTGTATATGAACTGCTGTATGGAAAATGAGTTTGCTCTGTAAATTTCACCCAAATCACAAGAAAAAATTTTTTTTAAAAAATTTAACCTATAAAAACAAAATTGATAAATAATAGTAGATTTAAAAGAAATTGACAGAAATAATGATACAGACTATTTAAAAATATATGAAAGTATATAGTTTAACCAAGATAATAGTGTTTTTTAGTATAATTTAATTATATGTAAAACAATATTTTCTTTTTCAAATATTTACACATTTATTATAACTTAATAGCCTTTAAGTAGTTTGTGGTCTTTCTTGTTTTCTAAGCAGCCCCAGTTCTATAGCCAAGAAAAAAAGCAAACCTAGCTTTTTAAATTATTTATTTGTTTGCCATAAAATGTTCCCTTTCCCATGCTATAGATTAAGCCCCCTGAGAAGTTTCTGTCCCATAATACCTTTCCTTGCCACATGGTACAATGCCAGATAATCTCTTATTTCTTAGCATAATAATCTACTTGTTGCTGGTTTATTCACCCAGGTGGCCTCGAGTGTCTTCTACAGAAATGAATAAGAAAATGGTTGGCCGAAAACTGGTCAGATTGTCTCAGATCAAGGAAAAGATGGCCAGTGAGACATTGGAAGAAATGGACTGGGTAACATTTGGCGTTATAGTGAAGAAAGTCACTCCACAGAGTTCTAACAATGTAAGCCATTTGTTTTATTAGCTGCTTCACCACAAACTAACATTAGGGACTCACATTCTTAATTTGCTATGCTATCAGTATTTCATTTTGCAATGTTGTTGTTGTCGTTATGTGCCGTTGAGTCAAACCTGACTCATAGCGACCCCTCCTTGG